ATTTTTATATCCTTGATTGTTTATATGAAGAGGAGCTACAAACAACCCTCCAGTTGCCAAGTATGAGTAAAATCTTATCCCGTTTTTAAACATTGGTAATTTTTAAGACAATTCTACGCAGCACCATTCGATTGCTGGGATTGTAGATTTTGTTGTGGGTCAAATATGTTCATATCCTTGCTCGATTATGATTAAAGGATCTATAAGCAACCCTTAAATTTCCAATTGCAAGTAAAATCCATCCCGTTTTAAAAATTAGTAATTTTTAGGGATATTTGCTTTTACCTACGTATAGCAATATACGATTGAGGGGGTTGTAAATTTTGTTGTGGGCTATTCTTCCCACTCAACCCACTATACAATCACAAACAGCCATGCCTTACCTAGGATACGAACCCAGGACCCTTGTAGCCAAAGTAGTTCTTCACCACATTGTACACCAAATGTGAACCTGGTATAAAAAAACAGTCCTTCGCAAATATTAGTTTCTTCTAGGTCGCTCCTCACTTGGACGGACAATTTTTTTTCTATACTTGTTCGAGAATTGCTCAAACACGTTTATAAACTCTAGATCATTTATGATTCTAGAGAAATCTCTATTAACACTACGGCATGAATCGTATTATTAAAGATATTTTGTTCAATCGAGTTTCCATTAAGTAGTTGTAGGAGAACCGATCAACATGTGAATCAATAGGGCCAGTAACCCTTTGCCCATAAGCTCCCAATTATTAGGGATGAAAACCGAAAATGTTTATACTTACATGTTCAGAATGAAGACTGCTACTTATAAGGAAGGCGGTTAAAGTAACAAAAGTTAAATAGATAATAGTGGAATATATACATTCATTACCAATAGTTTGTTTTGAAAAAAAAAATTATGTGGGCTTAATGCAGTCATAGATCGGATGCTTCTATACAGTAAGTATGCCTATGGCTTCGAAAATGCAAAGGTTGCTACTTTTTCCTTTCGAGTGTTATTTCTGATTACGCCGACACATTTCGCGCGTAATTTAGTAATTTTGTGGGGTTAGATGGAACGAGAAAAAGTTTTCCCATGCAGTACATTTGTTGTCGTAGACAAACCCAGGAGGGATATACAATTTTATTCGCCATTTTCCAAGACCTGGTACAATACTCGGTGACCTTTACCGGAGTTACAGGTTAAATTAAAAGATATGAGGGATAAATACGATTTTGGCCGACGTATTCACAATGAATTTTAGTAATACGCGATAAATTAATCCTAACCCATATGAAATCTGGTAAATATGAGAAACCAGTTAGCATTTTCCAAATGCTCAAGCAGGATTTTAGGGAATTTTTTCAATATTTATTCAGGGCTTCGTATTCAATTTTCATTTCCACCAAAACATGTGGCTTAAAACCCAATATTACTAGACTATAGGTAAGTAGTTAATACAGTTAATAATAATACTCTTTAATTTGCACAACAGAAAGACAAACTTTCCAATTTCAGAGCAAGAATAACACTTTATTAGTTGCGAGTTTTCTAAAAAAATAAAATAGAGTAATCTATAATTCATCTTGAATAGGTATTAAGTGAGTGGAAAATTATAATACAAAAAGTTTAATTAATTATCATGGATTACAGGACAAACAGTATGGATACAATGAAAACATTAAAACTCAAATTAATTTCTTATTAATGTTAATAACTAAGCGTAACATTTGATGAACATCGCATTTTTGTGGTATTGAATTAAAATTTTTGTGAAATTGTAAATAATGGTTTCTTTATTTATATACGAACCGGAACAGTGCAGTTTTCTCTACGTAATAAATGCGGACAATCAATTAAATTATGGATTAATGGAAACAACCATATTACTCGTGACAATAGATTTTTGAAGGAGACTATCGGTAGGAAAACCTTTTTGGGTACACCTTCTAATCTATATTGTAAAAACCTTTTTAAATCGTTCAAGACCGTTTCTTGGATTGTTATAATGGGGGTACCAAGTTAGGTCACAGTATTTTGGGTCTTACACTAAAAAAAACTATATTAGTCCAAACAACCAATTAGCTTTTTGCTGCTAGATATCAATTGATACTAACAAACTTTTTAATGTAATTATTGATAATTTGCTAATAAACCCCTTAAAAATTGTGATGTAGTCAACAATTATAATCAAATTTAATTATTCGCCGCTTGATGTGATCCTGTGATAATCTGTTATTGTTTACAGTTAACGAGGTAATAAAAATTATCAAATCGAATAAATGTAAATTCGGTTTATAATTACATAGAATGTTGCAAGATACTTTACGTCAACGGCCAATTTACTTTTATGAAATAGTATGTCATATTGCACGCCTCTGAAATTGATATAGTATTAATTGATATAGGTAACACACGATTACCGAAATTCGTTGAAAGGATGGATGGTTAATATTACAAAGCAAAGTGGTAGAGTTTTGAACGTATGCACTAAATGAGTGAATATAGTTCAAAGATGCTTATCGTAAAGTGGTATCTAAAAAAATGTAGTAATTTCGCCATCAGTGATTGATTTCAATGAAATTTGCATAAAAATACAATTTGTAGATGATGCGCATGTGAATGTATTAATACCTTATAATGCAAATTGCCACGATCTTGACCCGTACAACTTTTCCGCAAAGAATATCAAATTAACAATTTAGTCGAGGTTCTTGAACTGTAATAAAATTAATTTACTGAATTTCTTCCTTTTTTAAGCCACTGCATAATATTTGGTTATTAGATGTGCTAATTATGCAAAATTATGGGCAAACCAATTTGTACTCCACATTAACATTTGTTACTTACCGAAACGTAACCAAGTATTCGTACGCTTTTATTACATTCACTACTATTACCTTCTGTACCTGCCAAGGTCCTCATCCGTTAGATCATTGCCTAAATTTGTGTGTATGGTGCCATAGAGCTAGAGAATAAAAGTGAGGGAACCTACATTTTCAATTGATTCTAATTGGATCCAAGAAAATGGCCGCAATCGACATGCACTGCATGCGTAAAAGTGACACTTCTTGTACGTTTGAATCCTCTAGTTCTGCGGGTTTCTAGCAATCTTGAACCTCTTGAAAATCACGTAACCATTGAACTATCAGCTTGCATCCTCAACTTCATCGTGAGCCTCGTTGTTGGCTTTGTGCATTTTTTTTTCTAATTAGAAACAACAAATAAGTCCAGGATCACGAAGAAGTTGAGGAGCCAAGATGATAGCTCAAGGGTCACGTGACATTCAAGAAGTTCAATATTCTAAGAAGTCCGCAAGAACTGGAGGGTTCAAAGAGAGGTCCACAAAAACTGGAAGATTCTAAGGTGGCCGTCCAAGATGACGGATCGACCACATTTTAGGTTGTCATACAGCAAATTGATTGATATTTTCAAATATTTAGGGATATTGAGGCGACCCTCTTATCTCCAACGCACAGGTATTTTACTGTTTTCATCAATAATTAGAAACATGATACAGAAATGCAACAATTTTACTGATTATTTTAGACCTTTGGCCAATTTTGAGATAATCCTCTCTTTAGGTAGCCGGTGGAAAACCTAATGCTTATAATGGTGTATTCACCAGTATTTCTTCGGAGTTGTTTGGGGATATAATTGCTGCAAACTCGGGTTTATTTACCCATTTTGTATGCAATCGTTTTTATATTGTATCTTTGTGCAACCACAGGCAGTTTTTACTACAGTAAGTAAGGTAACCTATTTTGAGGTTATTATTAGAAAATCTTTATATGAAATCGTGGTTTCTGTCTACTTGTCTGTTTCTGTTAACATGGAGACTCGAGAATAGATAGGTATTTTAAAATTATATTTTTGGCACGGTAACTCATTTCTGTCGCTTCAATGAGTTCGTAGTTGAGCAGATCGGAAAGACAGCTTTTCTTTCGTTACTGCATTTGTTAGTTTCAGATCAAATGACGATTGCCATACAGACAATTAATACCACTGTTTATAAAATACAAAAATGACCAACAATTAGAAACAAGTATAAATTGTGCACAACTCTTGTGCATTTTTTAAACCGAAATAGCTTAGTAAATGGATGGGTTATAATGTAGTAGCATGCTATCGATGAAAGCTTTGACATCACCAATAGATTGCCTTTTATGAGTACCCTCTTCCGATACTTCGTTGTCAAGGTATTTGCTGTCACCAATAGATATGTCTCGTCCAGTCGATTCATTTTGCCTTTGAGAGTACTTTCCTCCGACAAATCGTTTTCGAGATATTTGCTCTTAAAGTTTTGACATAACCAGACGTCCCAATCGTCCTTTGCGAATACTCTTTTCCGACAATCCGTTCTGATGGAGATATAAGGGAATATATCCGATCACGATAAGGGGTCGAGGCGGTTGGTAGAAATTAATTCCTTTCGTCGAGACCCTTCATTAGAGTACCATAAAGGATAAAACCAGTTCCACTTCCTTCCTTCCCCGACCCCGTTACCCACTGATCTCGAAAAAGAGTCGCGCGGGAAAGTTGTAGTTAGTACAAACCAAATTATTTCGATGAGACCTTTCATTAGAGTACCACGAAGGGTAGAATGTGTGTCCCTCCCCTCCTTCAAAAGTTTTACTTGGCACCACTAAAGGCATGCGTATGCAAAATCTGAGACCAATTGACCGTCGTATGTAAAAGTTATGCACGTGTTACTTTAAAAACAGCATATCGGGGATAATTTATGGCCCCCCACCCCTTAAGACAGCGAAATTTGATGGCCGGCACGCCTTCAAGGTATAGGCTACCTATTGCAAAAAAATCCAGGACTCTAGGACAATTCCCCTAAAAGTAGTTCGAAATAGCCCTTTTTCTATTCTAAAAAATGCGCTAAAAGTGGTTTGTTGAAGTTTACTCTTTTGAAATCTTCTCATCTGAGCATTCTTTTACATATTAGCTACATTTTGAGAATAATCTAAAACCTCTTCTCCTATTTCTTCTGGAACATAACCGTTCCCGTTCCTTTTAACATCTAAAGACATCTGATACAAAAAGCTTTATTTTTTCTCTATTTATGTATATGGCAATGCGAGCAGTGAAAATACAATAATTGAGCATGTTCGCTATATCAGAATTGAACGTTACAATTACAACAATAATGAAGTAAAATACAATACAAAAATTAACTTAAAAAGTAGGTCGTTAATTATAAAAATTAATAAGGAAATTGTATTCGTAGATTAATTTTTAAAATTTGGTTAATTATGTCTTGGTTTTAGTCCCAACCAAAAACCCCTATCAGAAATGGGATTGACATTGGTCTTACTTAAAACTATTGGAATTGGCGTTTTTTCGATTGGAACTATTTCAAATTTTAATAAAAGGTGAATCAGTGCGATTTTTATTTCTAGAAGTGCGAAACGCGAACCTAAAATGAGTAAGTTATAGTCAAGCGAATCAATTGCTAACCATACCTATGCAGTTGCGCCTTCCACTTCCAAAGGGTAGAAATCCGGGTGGACGCTTAGTAATGCCCAGAAAGCGATCGGGATTAAATTCTTCTGGATTGGGAAAATGCTCCGGATCTCTGTGTATTGCGAAAATTGGGATTAGGCATAATACATCTGAATTGATGGGGACGGGCAGCTCGCCTTCTGCAGCAGGTTGGATCACGTAGTTTTGAACTGTTGTTCTGTCAGTCACTGCAAAAGGTGGCCATTTCCTTAGAACTTCTGCAATGTGATCAAGCATTAGTGAAAAACGAAATAAGGGTAGGTACGCAATTACCCGACACAACCATATCTAAATATTTCATAGAGGTGACAATTTGATAGGTCAATTTCTCACCCTCTTTTCCCATTGTGTTGCGAATTTCATTTAATAATTTCTGCTGTATGTGCGGGTGAAGAGCCAGTTCATACGCAGCAAAGCTCATAGCCGTAGATGAGGTATCAAAACCTGCAAGAAAGAATATAACAGCTTGAGCTGTCATGATATCGTCAGTAATTTCGATTTTTGCACTCTTCTCCTCGAAAGTCTCGCTGGCTTCGGACACCGCAGCAATTTCCAGACTTGTATCGGCGCCAGTATCTACCTTGAGCTGACCTTTTCGAGCTTCCATTAGCAACTGGATGATATCCGGGCGAAATGTAGATGTGCTCTCTCTCATTTTAATAGAGTCCTGAATAATTTTTTGGAAAAATACTCGCACTTCTTCGCTTATAAATCGTACTTTCATCAACTGAAAATAACATTATCGCGTTGGAGAAAATTGAGGTAGTCTACTTACTTCAGTAAGTTTGGTGTTAATGTTATTCATGAAAAACTTGAGATTCTTTGGAAACTTGGCAATGTCCGCTGTGTTTACGCCCATTTTATAAATGGCATTGTGAGGATCCTTTAACGAGTTACATGTGGCACCTAGCGCTGTACTCGCGATAATATCGTTTGTAAGTTTCGCGAATGCTTCTTTCATTTCCACTTCGACTAAACTATTTTTTTCCAAAAGGTGCTCGGTGAAGGACTGGGCGCACTTGTCAATGAGGTAAAAAAGCGTTTTGAGCTTGTTGGATGTAAACGCCGGACTCAAAGTTGCCCTTAAATCCTTCCATTCTTGATTTCCTAGAATCATGGTCTTAGAAGATGATATGTTTTTATTTCTTACCTGGCATTGCGAACAGGTTGTGCGCCCAAATTGGGTCAGCTTTTTCGGAAGTGTACAGCACGTGCTGAGGAAATTTATCAAATTCTCTTACAGTAATTTCGTTAATCAGTTTAAGGTCCCGTAAAATTAAGGTCGGTTTTTGGAATTGGTAGATCCCGACGTACCTGTAATACATGTAAATAAAAATAACATTTCAGAACCATACCTGTGAGATTTATGTTTGTTGTAAACAATTTGTAGGTATTCTGCCATGGATAACCGGCCCAGTATAACCCTCGCCAAGTTTCCGAAGAAGAATGTTGTTTTCTCATGGGGAGTACTATACTGTTCCCAATAGTTTTTTGTGTTTTTAATTATGTAGTATATTAATAGTTTTACAGTGAACAACATTAATAGAAATACTACTACTAACATTCTAAGACTCGTAAATACTCCCCACATTGTTAACATCGTCAGTGTATTTAGGATAAACGGTAATGGAAATTTGTGAAGGCCACCTTCATTTTATTGATACTTTTACAATTTTCGAATTGAGCGCCAAAGGTTATCGTACATATTGAATGTTGCTTAAAGTACTATCAACAGGCATTCTCAAACTTTCAACAAATTCGTCGCTGATTTCATAAAATTTAAACATGTTTCCATTAGATTTTTTGAGGTATAAAATTTAGTCGAAGCTTCTTCACCGTATGCCCCATTCTTCTGAATTGCATGCATTTATTGTAATTGTGGATTGCTATACACTTTATACTAATATTCCAAAATTGTAATTTTTTAAATTTCAAGTCATGAGTCATGATGAGCCATCCTGCCACGACCGTAAAAAAACTCAAGTTGAGAAATATTTGAAAATCGAATGTTTAGTCCTCTTCCATACAAAATTTGATGCTTTGTAAGAAAGTTCCCTATTTGTAAATGAATGTTATTCGTGCCGACGTAGTTATTGTTGATTAAAAGGACGCGCAACTATTTCACAATTTTTTTCTTTTTTTTAACAAATACATTTATTGTGCTAACTTCATTACAATAGACCCATTGGTTTTTTTTATACAAGAGTCCTCCAAAATGGCTTGTTATAACATTTCAATTCTGTACAATACTTGTTCTCTGTGATTTTGTAACTGTTTTGGGTAATCGTTTAGGCACTCAAAGAGGTATTAAGTTAATCTTCCACAATTCATTTGCCGCTTATTTCTGAAAAAATAAGTCCAATATAAATGTTATCGGCGATGAGGCGTGTAGATTTAATACCAATCGCAATATTTAATATAATGAATGCCCAAACGCCCCTAATTTGGATTTATTCCTTCACCACCTTCAACAATTAATATACCGTTTACTGTAAAAGAATATTTATTCAGTTTTTTAAGACAAGCTCGTTTTCTTTTTTTATTTCCGATATTAATTCTATACAAAATTTTCATTCGATCCTATCCCTAAAATTATTTTCATTTTTCTTAATAAAGTAATTTTTAATACAAATCATGATTGGCCTGTACAACATCAATTGTGTTACCATGGCATTGACATCTTAGTTAACTGTCAACTGTTTTACGTTCACTGATATACAATTTTTTTCTTTTAAATACAAATATCTCCAAAACGCTCAAAGATTAAACCTATTAAACTGACCTTAATTTTCAAAGAGGAATCTAAATGTGGAAAAACAAATGGGAGTGTCCTTTAAAATAAGGAAGTTGGTGGCTTCCGGTACAACCGGAAGTAATACAAAACTACCACTATTTTAAAAAAGCAGTTAAGGGTCGAGAGCCTTTGTGTGTAAGTTGTTATACGCGTCTCATTTCCAATTTCCCATATAAGACTAATTTAATGTCCCTCGGTATAAATTTAATTGGAGTTACATAATGGATCCATGCAATTTAATTTCAATCTCAATCGCAATATTAATATACTTGGCGTCCAAATACCCCTAATTATTCACTTGAGTGAATTAGTTAAATTATTTCTCAAACAATAAGCCTATTTGTATACATTTTATTGGCGTTATTGACATATTCCGTACAAACAAGCGAGAATAAAAAGCTCTGAATCTGAGCTTTTAACTGAATAGGCTACCTTTCTATCTTGCTCATGCAAAACGAAACTATAGATACATTATTCAGTTATCACCGTTAAAAATATTCCGGACGAGCAAACATTTTTGGATGTATATGTATTTAATTTTTCTTCCTCCGTTATGGGAATAAAAAGTTCTTAATCGGAACTTTTAAATAAATAAACTACATTCCTATCTTCCTCATGCAAAAGGAAAGTTATACCTATCCTACCTATGGAATAGCACGAAAAGAACATTTTATTTTTTCGGGAATTTCGCCCTTTGGGCATTTAGATATAGTGTTTAGTTTTTTTCTGTATATTGATTTTTTTGTATAGCCATCCTATTTAATCCGTTTCGTAGAATATTTTACGTATATAAATAACAAGTTGGTAACAAAAGTTAGACTGCTAATTTTAATTATTTTCCACATTTTTACAATTTTGCGAAAACCGTTCGCGGAACGCGATTTGCCTTTCTAATAAAAGTTGACTTATTTTATTAGGTATCTCTCCAATGAGCCCAAAGTAGTTACATTCAGACAAGATGTTACTGTTATAGAAGAGTTTTTCCTAATTAACGTAATTGCGGACTTTGTGACACCATTAAACCGGAAGTGACAGGGCATCCACGGACCTCCCTTCCAAATGTGATTAGACAGCCCCAACAAACAACCTTGGATGGGCGGGCAAACTTTAACAGCCCTGGTAACTCACTTTGGTTTTTTACATTGTATCAATTAATTCCTGCTATACGAACCAAACTGATTTAACCATAAATAGTAATTTATAAATTTTTAGCTAAGGGTTTATAATATTCATATTAGGTGTACCAGGTAATGACGGCGTATTCCAGTCGAGGGTGAACTAAGCTAAAATACAAAAGCTTTATAACGTTTACCTATATTATGAAAATCTCTTGTACTTCTTATTATAAATGTCGCATAGGAATTAATAGTGTAAAATTTTTGTTTGACTTAATACATAATTATATTATAATATATATTACAATAATCTGCTAAATTTCACCGTTCCGGTGCGTATTAATAGAAATGCTACTACCTTTACAAACCCCGCTCCTCAATCTAATTTGTTGCGCAAAAACCCGTTATTTATAATCTCTCATACTTTTAATTTAATTTCACAAAATTGCGATCTTCATCACAGTTCTTTACCGGAAATGTTACGCTCGGTTATTAACATTAACAGTAATTAATTAAGTTTTAATATTTTCATAGAACATTGTTTGTCGTATAATCAATTATAATTAATTAAACTTTTGGTGTTTTTAGTCACTTAGCAATTATTCAAGAGGGCTGATAGAGAATTTTTTTGTTTGTCTTGTTTTTTTTTGTTATTGATTTCGGTACTTTAAGTATTGTATCAATGTTACTATATATATTTCTTAATTTTTGATTTATTTTAACTCTATTGTACTCTTGCAGGTTGTAAAATGTTGTTTTTGCTCTGAAATTGGAAAATTTGTCTTTATGTTGAGCAAATAAAAGATTATTAAGCGGCAGAGCAAAGCGATGTAAGCTTTATAGGGGAGTGGATGGTGTCCATCTGTCCGTGAACACGATAACTGTCAAACGCTTGGACCGATTTGGTTCAAACTTTGCACAGTTAGCCTAAATGCCACAAGTAATAAGCCTATTGAAAATGGGTCAAATCCAATGACCCCGTGGGGTCACGCTTCTCTGTCCTTGCCAAACGCTTGAACCTATTCGGTTGAAACTCTGCACAGTAGACTTATATGAAATAATTGAATTATTTGCGGCAAAATGTTGATAATTAGATTTTTCTAAACGTTTTTTTATTAACACCCGGGGATAAACGGTTAGATCCGCCCAGTGTCAATTAAAAATGAGATTTTCGATCGTGGACGAACCTCTCTAATTTTATCAGCAAACTCAGCTACAACTTCAAGACTAGGATGACTATGTGTTGCAAGGATTGCTTGAATATCACCAGGTATTTGTCCCATACATAACGTTTTTAGATAGTTTTTATTAACATACGTCCCTGCTAAATTTTTCAAATGCCGAAGAAATTGAGAGAGAATTGCAACACGAGTGACATCGTTATTATTTTGTCTTCCTTCCACCGATCGATTTACACTTGCTTCTCCTTCCAACGTCACGTCGGGTCACCAAGTGTAGGTTATTTGATTTTACCTTATTAAACAATATTTATTTAGGAACAGAATTCGACAATACATGAAAATTCTTATTATTATTTTAGTTGCTAAACAACCCTCACCAAGCACATTAAATTTCCCACAGTAGCTATCTACTAACAGATTGGCACAGAAGAACAAAAGTGCGTTCCGTTGACTTTTGGACATTTTAAATTAACGTCAGAAGATTAATCTTTTGTTGGCTCTTTTGGGATTATGCTGCTTTTCCAAAACACCAATGGTTTGAATCTATCAATTATTGGTAACGTTCGGTATTAATCAGGACCTGCCCGCGAACTACACCCAGAACAATGTCTTTGTACCAAAGCGGTTCGGTAATGAGATAGATGTTGAAGGTACCTCTGGAACCATTTATAATAATTGTTTGCGCTTATTTTTATGATGCAAAAATTACTTTCTTGTGTATCATTCGAGCAACATTTCACATGTTTTTGCACTCTTCCATTTGTCTCTCGCTGAACTCACGTGGTCCCTATCTGTCGACCTTCTGAATCTTGCTCATCTCTTGTGTTTAAGAAACATCGTTGTTTAATAGGGGTTGCAATTTACCATCTTCGTACGTAAACACCTGTATACGCCGAAACACATATTTTGCGATTGAACGTGCTCACCATAAGCTTCTCGAAGTAGTTTATATTCAGTAGTATTCTTGAAATGTAAACATAAAATAATCCTCTCCGAGGATGCTCTCAATTTGATATAATTTTGAAGCATTAAACACACCGATATACTGTACGAACACTAGTTCAACAAAAACATCGAGAAACTAAAATTAAAACGTACCCGTTTCATTAAAATGCTTTCCTGATATGCTTGTTTCAGTTTTTGTTGTTACAACCACAGATAAAATATGTGTAATTATTTTTGCTTCTGACTACCACTCCATGAAGAGGGAGATATGGCCCATAGATGGGAAGATAATCTCGCATAATATTAGAATAGATGATGTTATGCAATTCAGCATTCCTATGAAAACCAAGTAGACCTTAAATACGATTTACGTGCTGATTGATAACTGCAAAAATTCGTTACTGTGGCCTTTTGCATTTTTCATATTTGAGGTTCCGCAGTTTCCACATGTCGAATAATCAATCTCCTTATATGGGGAGCATCGTTTGCTTAAAATTTTCTCGTCCTCTTTCCACAATATTGTGATATTATGAATTTTGCGAAATTTCTGTTACGCACATTCTTAGTCCACGAATCTACTCTGCTCATATTGTTGTTTGCATCCG